GTATGTATGTATGTATGTATGTATGTATGTATGTAGTATGTATGTATGTATGTATTATCTATGTATGTATGTATGTATGTATGTATGTATGTATGTATGTATGTATGTATGTATGTATGTATGTATGTATGTATGTATGTATGTATGTATGTATGATGAATGTATGTATTCATGTATACTCAGCTTACATGTTCAATATCCGAGGTATGTGTGATATCTATGTGTTGGATGCCTGCATTGAATACCCATAATGCTCACCTTGTCTCCAGGAGGTGTTGTGGTGAATGACAACATGAAAGCGACAAAAGTACTGAGCATGACGAATCCCATGCTATCTGTGTTTATTTGTTTATGTAAAGTCCCTAGAAAAACTGGTTGGTTGTGATTATTTGGAGAACTTATTCTCGGCTGAGTATCCGTATGAAATGGTGTGTCCTTGGATGGCGTGTTCGAGGCGTATGTCTCATTTGGATTCTATATAGTATGCTCTCAATAGGAAACAAAAACTTAACGGGTTACGAAACTTAATGGGTTACGAAACTTGAAGGTTTGCGAAATATTCGGCGCAGCAAAATTCAAATCGCATGCGCAAATAGTAGTATCAGCACTGAAGCTTGTATGTGGCGCTGTCAGATGGGGCTGTATCCTACGTCGCCACAAGATAGGTACTAGATTGTGATGTACTCCTTTGCCCTGGCATCGGTCCAGTTTTTACTACACCGTGTGTACTGGTCATGCGTCCGCTCCCCGCGCAGTTATTGTGGACTAATATCGCATGTAGGGAAGCGTAAACACACCACGTTTTCACCACAGTCACACCACAGACGTACTAAACGTATATCGCGCTATCAAATGTCCAGCCCTATAGACGAGCCTGCCTGCAGACTCTCGGTGCTGAAAGACGAAGAACGAGTATCCTCGGGTTCGGAATTGGACAGTGTATATCCGCTTGCAGAGCCCAATCCGACGGGTGCCCATGAGGCGAATGCCAGGGATGTGGGGTGAGTGCGATGTATGGTATAGCGGGACGATATAGCGGGATTGAGTATACGCCAGGCAGGGTGTTATGGATAGCTATACGACATTTGACCATGTCTGACAATATGCAGATGACTTTGTACGACACTTTGTGTTCTAAAAATTGAATGACGGGTGATATCGAGGACAAGAAAACTGGATATATGCGCTGTGCTGTGACTATACGATGTTTTGTTTTGATATGCTACACGATGCTACTGGATATGTGAGACGTCTTTGCTGGATATGCACCAAGCTAAGTCTAAGTAATATGTATGTATATATGTATGTATGTATGTATGTATGCATGTATGTATGTATGTATGTATGCATTTGTGTATGTATGTATGTATGTATGTATGTATATATATGTGTGTATGTATGGAAGTATGTATGTATGTGTGTATGTATGTATTTGTATATGACGATTAACCATGGCTGCAGACAAAACTAATATTGGAGGATTGTACATGTGCTGATCCAAATGATGCCGAAAACATTGCAGTGGAATTTTAAATGTGAGGTGAGGGAATATGCAGATTTTGCGACTCAAAAACGACATGCTGTGAGTGCATTTGCGACATATCAGATATGCCTGAGCGTAGCACATTTAGTAAGTGAACATACCTCATTCTGTTCATTTAGTGAAACATCATCTTACGCCAGGATACTACCACGAATGCATATCCATCCCTAAAGCCAAATGTATTCCCAAATCTTCATTCATTCCTAAATTCATTTGTATTGCTAGCTCTAAATTTATACCTAAATTCACTTTCATCTCTGAAATCACTTACATTACTAACTCCAATCTAATCCTGAATTCACTATCACCCCTGATTCAACTTGTACCCCTGAATCCAAATCCATTCATAATTTCGCTGTAGCTCTGACACAGGCCAGCAGATAACACGCGCAACGTCCTGGAGAGTTTTGGCAAATATTAAAAAGGTATCCAAACCGAGAATTCACAACCTGTTCTACTCCTCCCCAATTTCTATAAATAGACCTTGTTCATGCCGTGAATATCCTAGTACATTGAGTGCGCATATGTAGCAGAAAGGCTCGATTCGCTGGTTGCTAGCATGTTACTGATGTCTTTTCGGGTGTCATGTTGCGACGATGTGCCTGTGCTGTCACACCGACCCTTCACCGCAGAATGTTACTGTACAAGTCCTATGTAGCACTAAACTCAGCATGTGGGAGACGGTCTTAGAACTCACCAAAGGGCATAATAGGTGACATTTTGAGGTGATCTGGCAGGGTTCATCAGACGTGTCTGTTTTGGAACCACCAGGATTTGAATATTTAGTCAGTCAGTCAGTTTAGCAGTGTATGTGTTTGGTGGTCACCTATCGGGTTAGCCAGCTAGTTGTAGAACAGCGGATATAATTATTTTTACACTACCTTTCACCGGTGGTTGCCATTATACGATGAGTCATATATTCAAAATATAGGTCTTTATAAAATAGAGTTCAGTGTATATTTGATATACATCGATA